CTTAGCCATTAGGCCACAGGCTCTTATCCGTTATGTATGTATGTATGTATGTATGTATGTATGTATGTATGTATGTATGTATGTATGTATGTAATGGCTAAGATCTCTGCCTAGTATGCCTAGTATGCAATATAGCCCAGGTTCAAATCCCAGTAAGGGTATGGCTAGCTGATGAGAGCTAAATAGCTTGAAATAGATCTATACTAGTCTCCCTTTATTTATTTATCAGCACAAATAAAAAACAAACACACACACACAGACATAAATAATTTGCCATTCTCTTCTCAACTGTTTGCCTTCCGGCACTGAGAAGGCCTCAATTCTGGAGCTTCTGTTGGAGTTGAACATTTATTAGATTTATATTTTAAAAAAAACCACTCCATAAGCCAGACCTGTCTGGGCAGCTATCCATAAAACCCGTTAAAATTTCAGTGCCGATAAAAGCAGATGCAGTTAAGATCAATAAAAGGCAAAATGAAAAACTCCGTTCCGGCTTAAGGAGCTGAGTTCAGAAGCTGAGACGGTTTGTGTTAAATAAAAGAACAAGTTTTCCAGACCAAAAAGTTTAGGAAAAAAAAAAGCAGCTAAAAATGATGACAATTGGGATTTTTTTTTTCCTATTGCTAAGTGAGGTATTTGTTAAAAGTGAGTTTTCTCCCACGTGACGACCTTCCTTGCCACCGTTGTTAAGTGGATCGCTTCAGTGCTTAAATTAGCATCCCCGGGGGCTGAAGCGGATTGCTGCAGTTGTTATATGAGTCCAGCCGGTTGTTATCTGGTGCGCAGACACACACACACACACACACACATGGGCTCTGCCCCTCATAACGTCGCAAGAAAGGATCCTCTGACTTGGGACGCTGCAACCGTCATAAATACGAGCCAGTTTCCAAGGGCTTGAATTTTTGATCAGATGACTGCAACCATTGTAACCGAGAAAACTGGTCCTAGATCACCCTTTTCTTCCAGGGCCGTCGTAACTTGGAACCGGTCACTAATGGTTGTAAGTCAAGGACTACTCCAAAGTTGTTAATTGGGTGGGGGTTTTTTGCCAGTAGGATCATGCAGGCCTGTATTTGCAGAGTGCTGGTGTGCAGGTGAGGGAAACATCTGTTTGGGGGTTAGGCAGAATTCTCCCAGCAATTTTGCAACTTGCCATTTGAGTGTTTTCGGCTTAAATCTTTCACGGGTTGAAAAGAGTTTTAAAAATGAAAAAGGTACGTCGTTCCCCACCGCGGGATAAAACAACGACGCTGCCTTCGCTTTGAGGGGCAACTCCAGCCTTTTGCGCCCTGGGGGGGAAGAGAGAATGTCCCTCGCGTGGCATTTTCCCCCCTACAGGTCGTCCTCAACTTACAACCATCCTCGAGCCCTGAAGTTCCGTCGCTGGGTGAAACATTTATTCAGCGAATTTTACCTCAGTATATCAGCTTCCCTTGCTAAAAAAGAGCCGAGGTGGCGCAGTGGTTAGAGTGCAGCACTGCAGGCCACTTTAGCTGACTTATCTGCAGTTCGGCGGTTCAAGTCTCACCGGCTCAAGGTTGACTCAGCCTCCCATCCTTCCGAGGTGGGTAAAATGAGGACCCAGATTGTTGGGGGCAATATGCTGACTCTGTAAACCGCTTAGAGAGGGCTGAAAGCCCTATGAAGCGGTATATAAGTCATTGCTATTGCTAACGGCGGTGAAGTGAATCGCTGTGTTTCTAAAAAGCTAGTCACAAGGTTAAGCGGATCCGACATTGTCCGGAGGTCACAAAAGGGGATTCCGTGTCCGTCATAAATATGGCTCCGTCGCCAAGCAGCCAACGCTCGATCACATGGCCGCGGTGGACGCC